TTTTCTTAAATAAACAAATGAAAAGAATAACTATGCATCTCTAAGTAGTTATTTAATGGACATACATTCCAACATTATCTGATTAAAGAGCAATAAAAGCAGCCTAGTCTAGGTAATATCTAAAAGAATATGATGACCTACCTATTTTTTGTAAGATCTCAGTCAAAGGAAATTTTTTTTTGTCAATTGAAGAATGTTTAATTCCAAGAATTAATGTCAGAGGCTTATTAACCCAAGTAACAAAGTTGATATTTCTGAGCTTATATTTTAAATATCATGAGAAATTACATATGTGTGTAAACAAAAGAAGTCAGTGTATCAGCCAAAGTGTTGCATTCTAGAAAAGACTTTAAACCACACAGCCAATATTCACTTTTTCAAGCCAATTCTAGCCATGCAGTTATTCCACTATTTAGATATAAATAAAAGGCTCAGAAGGGAGCAACACTGCCTGGGTCAGCATTTGATAATACAGGTGGAAATCTTTATGAGCAGCTACAAGATTAAAAAAAATAACAATAAGTAAACACCACTTAAGATAAGCTCAAAGATTTCTGTGTTACATTTAATATATAGTTAATACAGTCACATTACAACATTATTCTGCTTTATTATTTTTCAAATCAGTTATTATACCTTTAGAATAATGTCAAAAATATAAATTCCAACATTTAATACTTAAAATGAAGATATACACGAATCATTAGAACTATGCACTAGTTCCAATATTCAGGTCCAGATTCTTTGTGTGTGTGAATGTGTAGAGCAGTTGTTTATTTGGGTTTGATTATTTGATTTTAATTTCATAGTTTTGTTTCCAAATATTTTTCTTTTTCAACATCTTTACTATTTTAATATTGTGCTTCCCATGCAACACTTAGCTTAACTGTTGTTGACCTGTGCAAATGTGTTTCTGATGTCTGTCAGCAAGTACAAAAGCTTAATTTCATTAAAGTATATTATATATGCTCAGGACTGAGAGAACATTCTAAAATGAAGAAGTTTGGCTAAAGTTCAACTGGGCATCAAATAGCACCAGCAAGAATTTTCTTAAACAGATGGTGTAAAATCTTGCTAACACAATAGTGTGTGCTTAACACAGGAATAATATCAGAAACAGATGTGCTCCAAATGACCATGGTACCAAACAGAAACAACAAACATGGGATATACATTAAAAACGATGCCCTTGCCAACCGGGGGAAAAAGAAATGACTGAACAAATGCATGTGCTTGTCAAATAAGAAATGCTACTGATATTTTTTTCCAGACAAACGTTGGCATACAAATATTTTCCCTTTGGCTTCCCCTTATACATTGGTATTAAAATTCTACCAAGGTGGCCAAAATTAAGGATACAATTTTAAATGCACGTTAAAAAAAAAACTAATCATATAAAAGGGGGAAAAAAAGACTTTGATTTAACCTAAGAAATAAAGGGGACCTACGGGTCCCGTCCATCATTTGAGACAGAAAATATTCTCATCAGCCCAAAAAGAACCAAATTCTCTATTTTCTTTCCTTTTCCTCCCCTCCTCGCCCAGAAGATCTGTACACACGTGATTTATCAGTTCGGTCCATAACTAATTACCTAACTAATTACCATACCTTTATTAAAAGTACCAAAGATCTAGTGGCTTCTGGTTAGCATAGGAACTAAAACCAAGTGCAAGAAACACGCACCCCTGGGGCGGCCCTTCCTAGGGAGGGTAGAGAGACAGGCTCAGTCCGCTTAGCGCCTCGCCCATCACAACCATCGCTGCAGGCACAGACCCAGCGCGGGGAGGAAGGCGAGTCCTTCAGGCCACTCGGAATCTGCAGCGGGTGGTGTCTCTCCAGCTCCCGCACCCAGAGCGTCACCGCTCCACAGGACGTCCCAGGCACGCGTCGTCCAGGCCTAGTCAGGCTTTGCCCTGTGCCCTTGATGTTTGTGCCCTTGGAGTTTTGACTTTCCTAACAGCTTTCTGTGGGTCGCTGGGGTGTGTGCTTTGGGGCTTTTGAACTGTTAAACACGAAGTACCTACCTATTTACAGGCAAATAAGGTTGGGGGGAAGAAAGGCTTGGGCCTTGGGCATCCTCCGGGGCGCTGACTTTCTCAGAAAAGTCATAACATCCTCTGGCAGCCAGATCTCCTTCCAGGAGAGCAATGTTTTACTTTGCACATCCAAGCCTCCGCCCTGGGGTCACCCACGAAAAAGGCCCCCGGAGAGCGTGGTGATCAGAACCGCCAGGGACACGCTGGGAGCCAGACTCAGCCTGGCCTGGGTGAGCATCTGGGCGTTCAGAATCCCGACCACCCTCCCAGAGTCTGGATTAGTGATGCGGTATGCACAGTCAGGGTCCCCCCCCACCCCGCCGGCTTTCGGATCAGAACATGCTTTTCGGGGGCTGGTGGTGCTCACCCGGCTTGCCCTGTACCCACGCACCTCGGAACATCGGAGCGCACCAGTTGGTGCACAGATCGTGGCCTGCCAGAGCAGCAGCCCCACTGGCGGGGAGACCAAGGGTCCTGGAGAACAGGGGTCTGAAAGCTGCCAGGACATGCATGGCTCTGGGGCAGTTCTCATGAGGTCCTCTGCAAAGGCAGGCACTGGCCTAGCGACCCAGGCAGTTAGAGAAGAGAAAGGGCGTCAACCCACGCAGGAGGCGGCCTGTGAGCCTGGGGTGTGGAAGTTACCAAGGAAATGCAACAATATTTATGACCAGCAGACTATGAGAAAGTGTTCGCCCAGCACGAGATTTATCCCCTCCCCTTGCAGCCTGCCATCCCTCTAGCAGGATTCCCCTAGTTGAGAGTTGTCCACACAGGTATCTGACAAGAACCAACAGTGCCCCGTGCTACCTCTGAGGAATCTCAGAGTAGCCCTCTGAGATTCCTCAGAGGTAGCAGAGGTAGCCCCCACCTCCTGTCGTCCCCCAGATCTCCTAAGAGAATTAATTCCCACTTCTATTTTTCCAAAAGAAAGGAGCCAAATATCCAACCAGCTAGAAAGGAAAACTTTGTTTCACTTGATGAAAGATCACTAAATAGTTAGACGTAGCACAATGGTTAAGATCTTAGAATGGGTTTCTGTCCACCCTCTGTACCTAATCTGCCATGAAAATTTGAGCCGCTTGTCTGAGCTTCAAGTTCACCATATGTGAAGTGGGCATAATATCTACCTGGTAGATAATGCTGAGGAATGTATGAGACAACATATGTGAAAGCTGGATCATGTTAAACAAAAACAGAGTGAACATCTTTCTTATTAAAAAAAAAGGAGGGGTACAAATTCATCTCTAAAATTAGTAAGTTTTTCTTAAGGAAAAGCTTATCTCTGCATTGGGGTGGGGAAGAACAGTTTAAAGAAGCAAGAATTGTAGTTAACTATTTTTTCACCCTGGCCTTTAAAAGACAAGTTTACGTGAACTGGTTCAGTTTTGTTTTGTTTTGTTTTTAATGAAAGCATTTTATTCCCTCTGTTATCATCCTTAAAATTACTGACAAAGGGCAGAAGTATTCCAAAAAGAGAAAGAAGGAAAAAACACCGAAAGGTTATTATATTTTAAAGGTATTTTATATGTGTAAGTGTGTGTGTGTGTTTGTGTGTGTGTGTGTGCGCGCACATGTGTGTATCTTCAGAAGAAACTGCTGCCTGTTATTTCTCATGACTTTAATATTCAAAAGTAGTAATGAGGGTTGTAGCTCAGTGGCAGAGCACTTGCCTAGCATGTGTAAGGCACTGAGTTCGATCCTCAGCACCACATAAAAATAATCTGATAAAATAAAGGCATCCTGTCCATCTACAACTAAAAAAAATTATTTTTAAAGAAAGTAGTAATGAATGCAAACTATAAAACACTGAGGTGGGTTAAGGTGTTATTCCCCAAAGGTAGTGCAACATGAAGCATTTTTGAAAAAAAATGCCAGTTGTAATCCCTCCTGAAAAGGGGGAATCTACTCCACCTAAGTGATTGGGATTAACCACTCCTAAAAAATCAATTTTTACCAAGCTTCTAAGACTACAGCAATCAAGGCTGAATTTGCAAATCTTACTGTGCTGAAGAGAAAAACAAGTATACAGGATAAAGCCTTCTTGCTTTTCCTCCTTAGAGCTGAGTAAACTCAACACAGCCAAGTTTAGTGCAACTATTCAGTGTTGCAAGGACTCTTCCAGTCTTTTTCCAGGACTTCAGAATCCTAGGCATTGAATCTCAGTAGTGAACCCTGGGCAAAGACCTGTTCCAGCTTGATATAGGCTGAGTCTCAGCAGAGATCTAGCTGAGCTGCAGAAGCACCCAGGAGAATGTAAGAATATGACTGTGTGTGTGTGTGTGTGTGTGTGTGTGTGTGTGTGTGTGTGTGTGAGTATATGCAGATGTGTGATGGGAGGGGCTATCAGTATCAAGAATTAAGAACTAAGAGCCCCTTTCTGGTTTTCCTTCTTTTTGTGGACTGTAAATGAAGGCATATTTCCTGTGGACCCTATGCTGTAGCACCTGTCTCTGAAGACCTTTGCTGCCATCCTGACGGTTCACCCTGGGTACCCTTTTTACCCTGGAGTAAGCCAAAACATGTCAACATCTGACAATATGCACATCATTTCCATGAGTGCAAATGTCTCCAAAGAGGCTTACCCTTCTGGATCCAACACTTTCCTACAAGAATCCTCTATAACCTCCTTTATAAAAGACTCACACTTGGATGGTCTCTTAGGTATCCAGAGTAGATGTCAAATTTAATTGTAAACACTGAGGTCTGAAGGACTCCCAGAAGGGACCCAAATGAAGCACGATACTAGAGGATCCATTGGATGTTATAAGTCCCTTGTCCTAGATGAAAAAAAGTGGAGCCTAGAATTTCCTGCTATTTTGTCAGAATTTCCACTTCTTTCTCTCATAGGCTCTTCAAGGTATTAAAAGTCCTGGGCAAGAAGGTACCAATGAAAAGTAGGAAGCACTAGAAGAAGGTAGAAAAAGAAATGAAAACCTCTGTGCCTCTTGGCACACATTTTCTCTCTCTCATTCAAAAAGCAGAGGTTTATTGTATAATGCCAGGCTTTAAATTGAATTTCAAACAATGGGAGCAGTATGTGGCTCCTGCCTCCGTGATCTTTCTGGCCTAGAGCTGTGGATAGAACTGTTGGAGTGGACTTTCTTCTGTTTGTGTTAGGAAAATTATTTCTGAAGACTTCTCCCAAGCTGTGGCAAAGGGTGAGATGCCTTGGCCTGTGCATAGCCTTAGCCAGGCACTCTAGTTACAGAGTTACAAAGTATTGGTCAAGGCTGAAAGGGAAGTTCCAGAAGTGAGCCAAGGCCTTTGGACCTCTGCTGGCTTAGAGATGGAGGCGTCCTTTGTTGAATCTGGGCATTAGTCCACCAGTCGATAGTTAGACATCAGACTCTGTCATCTACAAAGAAAAGGGGAGAGAAAGATTTTACTGCTGATTTGAATGTTCCACTCTTTCCACCTTGACTGTTTTATTTGACACTCAAAATCATTCTATACTACTAAACCTTGGCCCAGCCATAGAAGAGGTGGGAAAGTAGATGCCTTGTGATTGCTAGTAGCCAAAAGTCCACAGTGGTAGCAAGAGGCTGACTGCCAGACCACCTGCAGTGGAGCCACAAACCCAAGTCACCTGGACTCCATAAAGAACCTTGTCATGAATACCATTAATTGAAAGTGTCTGAACTCACTAAAAACAGCCATGGAGTTGAAACAGCAAAGTGGTTAAAAGTTTGTGTTTGGATTCAAATTCTGACCTGGTCTGGTAGAATAGGTCTTTGGCAAGTTAAAGTGGGATTGTGTAGTGGCACTAATGGGGTGTTAGGCAACAAGATACAGCTATGATTGCTGCCATTTTCTCAATGTTCATGAAGTTGCACACACTTACAGAAGTCCAGCTACCAAGCATTTTAATACACAAGATTAACCCCAAAGTAAATCCGTGATAAAGGAGAAGGTTAAGTTGTTCATTATCCATCCTGTATCTGAGATACCACAGTAGAGAAGGCTTCCTTCTGAACATTCTGCTGGAACTTGGGTTAGAGAGGACTTCAGAAACCAGATCTGATGAACCCTAGAAATGATCAACCTGAATCCTGGCAAACTGAAGACTATTGGCCTACTCTGACTGGGAAATGAGGCCTTAAAGAGCCTCTACATCCAGAGCAGCAGGATGTGAAAAGGGAGGAAGAGGATTGTATTGATTCTAAACCTACTTTGTTGGTGAACAGCTGTTTCAACATCATTTTGATTTATAGGACAACCTATAAGTGGTGCCCTAACTCCATTTTAGATGAAAAAAACTAAGGTGTTAAGTTAAACTCCTCAGAATTATATCACAAGTTTTTTCTAACTTCAAATCTTGAGTTCTTAATGTAATAAATAACATGTTCCCTAGCTCTTAATCCCTGAACTCCCTTAAAGGAAGAAAAGAAGGCAAGCAAGGAAGGGAGAAGGAAGGGAGGGGGAGGAAAGGAAGAAAAAGAAGAAAACACTGCTACTACAAAAGAACTGTCTCCTAAAGCAAAAATCCACATAATTTTTTTTTCCATTTAAAAATATAGATTAAGATTATTCCATACTCCCCCTCCCCTGCCACCCACTTTCTTTGGTAAAAGCATCAGTTTACAGGATACATAGGATAAGCAGCAGCCAGACCTGGAAGGGTTGCCAGGGAGAACCAGAAACACCAATGTTGTGGGCGGGACAGCTAGAGCTTGCTGGGGCTCACTCACACTAGTTAACAATCAGGGTGCGAGTTGCCCTATTAAAATCGTATCAAAGCCTGGTAATGGGAAGCCCATAAGGTCTCCTGTACACAGGTCCAACCCAGGAATACTGTCTGGCACCCGTGTTTTCAGCACTCAGGTTAAGTTTGGCTTTTCCTGCACTCTGGCTGCGTTTTAATTAGCCACTCAGGTATCTCCGAGGAACTGGGGATGGGGATCCATCAAGCGAGAAGCCTAAACCTTCAGGGATGGGGTTTCCATCTTCCTAGTTTAGCAAGCCCCAGACTAGATCTACACGGTGTGCCTAGGACGTGTAGGGAAAGGGGGGGCGGGCAAGGAGACCAAGTTGGATATTTTTTTCTCTCCACCTTCTACTTGGGCTTTTGCAGTTATGCGAGGGCAAAATTCTATAAAAATGTTGGAATCAAATTTCCACTGCTGCTGCTTTGTTGCTCATTGAAAAAGGCAAAATGCATACAAAACCGGCAGCTCAAAACCACAGGCGTGCTTAAGGCGAGATTGTCGGCTTGGAAATGTCACAATGAGTAAAAGACGTAATGAATGTACTTTTGCGTTTTTCTTTCTCACTGTACTGTTCAGCCTGGGAGTATCTCAGACTGCCCCTTCCCCTAATTTCGGGCTTTCCAAGTTTATTTCTTCCACCAAGTGGGAATCGCTTCTTCTGACCTCTTCCGCAGCAGACAAGTCAGTTTACTGCGCTCAAGACGGCGCGCACTCGTGGGCTGAAAAGAAACACCTAATACACGTGTACATCCTCCAGGGCTCAAAACCTGACTTTCGGTTGTTGGATATTCCGAATCGCCTAAGGCAACTGTTCCCAGCTGATTCGCTTGACCTGACTTCGAGATAGAGGCGCCCCTGCAGGGGACCGGGTCTATGTGCTGTGCCTTGCCGAAGGTCTGATGCTTGCCCAACCCGCTCGCCTAGTCGGAAAGTCTACCAAGCCTCCGCGTTGGGCAAGCCATGCGAAGCGAAAACAGTAGGTCGCAGACGAAGGCATTCTCCACCATTCGGCGACCTCCTTCTGGATGAATAAACGTCCTTTCCCTTGGAAAACTGCAGATTGATGAGGTCTAAAAAGGAAACTGGGACCGGTAAGTCCCAAGGTGAGTGGGTTTCCAACTCCATGATCTCTGAGGGGTAATTCAGATTTTGAGCAGCACAAGTTTGTACCTCTAGAAGCTATCTCCTTCAGTATCTTTCCAGACTAATACAATACTTGGGGTAGGCAAAAATCCAGACACTTTCTGAAAACTCTGAATCAAGTGTGACATCCGCAGTTAAAGAACGATCTTGGCTGAGGTTTCACCTTCAGTGCTGGAAGGAGTCAACACTAGAATCAGCTGCAGGCTGCTCCTTCTTACCGGCGCGGAACACTTCCGTACCGCTATGGCATTCAACAGTCGTCTTGCTGGCTGTGCGCTTGGCTCGGTACCTGGGAGGTGGACCCTTAAGGTGGTGCGGCTTGGAAGCACTGTGCCGCAAAGCTGCAGGTTCAGCAGCTGTAGGCCCCAGAGTCTTGGCTGCGACTAGTTTGACCAGATTTTCTCCCAGGCCCCAGCTGTGCCTTGCCCAGGTTTACACCGGTCTGAACCAGGCGAGTCCTCGTAGTGGGGTGAGTGAGAGCTGGGAGCCAGAGCAGGCAGTGATTCAGGGAGCCAAGATTGCCTGAATTCCGTGGAACCTCCAGGTTAAGTTCTCTCAAACGTGTGGTTACTCACTGCGAGGAACTCAGAAGCAAAAGATTCAACCGTTAAGTTGGTGGGGACTTTTTCTACTTAAAGTAATAATTTGCTAATTCGGATCTATTGCTTTTAAATATCGAGTTCCAGAGACCTCTGTCAATGCAGGCTTAATTTCATCCCACTGATGAAGGATGTTTATAAATGGCGCCTGCGGTGCGAGCCGGGTGTGAAAATATCAGTTTTATGCCTTTTGATAAGAATTACCGAGGTGGAAGGCTTATTAGACGATTACAAATTTCGCAGCTGCTCACAGCCCAATTAGGCGGCTCTTCGCGGTGAGTGGAAGCTGTGGGGGTCGAGGCGGGTTGGTGTTCCCACTTTCCAGTCCCGGACCTCCAATCAAGAACTGACTCTAAGGGCTCCAGACCCTTTTCCTTACCCTCGGGTTTTAGGAAGCCACACTCCAGGAATCCCAGTTTACCCCGGAGCCGCACAGTCTGGGACAGGGACAGGACATATTCGGAAGTCCCTCTGGCTATCTCTTCTATCCCACCCCTTCTTGGAAAGATCCAGGTGGTCCAGGGGTGTTGGTAGTCCCCCTGGGTGGGCCTTCAACCTCTGGTATTTATTTGAGGAGAGGTGGCCATCTAGACTTTTCAATTTAGTAGGTAAGAACCAAGATCCCATGTTCATTCCTTTCCCACCCGCAGACACACGGGATGTTTTTTGTTCTGTCCTCGTTGGTTCAAAATTGATCTGAATTGAAGTTTTGGCTAAAATTTCTCATTATGAAGATAGAGACATATCATACACCCATACTTATACCTTCTGATTTTTAGCCCAAGTACCTAAAAGTGGGAAAAGATTCTCTGCAAAGCAGCAGGTGAACTTTTTCTTTGCCGGAGCCAAGGAGGAATGTAGGTAAGAAGTGTGAGGCCAACTCCGAGGAGCTGGGCTTCTATGCAATCCTCTTAGACTGGCCGCTCACAGGGGGTCATGAGGTCGTTGGGCCCAAGACCGGCGGGGCGATCAGCCCTAGCTTTCATTTGGAATACCTGCCCTTTCCCCTCCGCCCACGTCCACATTCAACCCTCACCCAAAGGCTTGCACCTCCCGCCATACAGAAAATGACTCACCACCCGGTAGCCTACCGAGCAAGCTGGGTGCACGAAATTAACACCGCAGGAGAAGTCCGTGTCCCGCAGAGTGCCAGAAGTAAAGCAGACGCCAGTCCTGGCTTTTAGGTCTTCTGCTTATGTGTGACGACCATCCTCCTTTCCCAAGCCCAGAAGGCTCTAAAAATGAATCATTTCCTCCACTTATGCAGAGATAGGAGCTCTTAGATCAAGATTAGTATTTTGAAAACCTGATTGAGAGCCGCCTGATTAGGCGAGGGTGGGTGAAAAGACCGCATAAACGCCAGCGCCCCCGCCCCACTTCCCCCAAACAGCTTTAGCGCTCTTGGCATCTCCAAATGACCCGCGTAAATGATTCTCGATCGTAGACAAATAGCACTCTATAGTACTTTGCAAACGGTTACACAAATATACGGTAATTAAATCTCCAAACTGGACCTCATTTTTAATTTCACTTTAAATGCAATTCTGTGCTATACACGGCCTGATGGCGCCAACTCCTGCACTTTCCATTCGGACCAGCCATCTCATGGAATGAGCTATCTCATGGAAAATGCATTATGTGGATTCCCGCTTGCCCCAGTACTGATTTCTCACTTGATGAAAAACACAAGTCTTTCTGATCCTCACGCACAAGTTAGCTTTTCTGGAAGTCGGTCCATCCCAATCCTTCAGTTCTCTACAGGGTCCCAGGTGAATCAGAGCTTTCTTCTCCCTCCACTCCTCCGGTAAAAGACTTGGTAGAGGGATGGCTGATATGAACTTGTGCACAGTTGCCAAAAAAGGAAACCAATAGCTGTAGGGAAATGTTTTAAAGACCCTCGTGTTTATGGGAGAAAAAAATATATATAATTGAGGAAAAACCAAATTTGCAGACATTTCTTGGCCCCAAACTCTTAACACTGGCTCACTTCATCACAGGAAAATCTGTCTATCCCCATCCACTCGCCTGCTAGCCTGCTACTGACCTGTCGAGAGAAGATCATTCCCATCTTCCTCTTCTACACAAATAAGGCAAGCAAATTATATGTGAGTGTATATATGTTTTTATAATATATATCTAATTGAAGGAATATTACATAATTTTGTTAAGGCCTTTAAGAAACAGAGACTCACAGATATTTTTAAAACTACCTAGCATATACAGAATGCTCTTTTTAATTTTAATTTAATCTTTTTTGTGGTGCTGGGTATTGAACCCACCGTCTCACTGCGAGTGCTCTACCACTGAGCCACATCCCTAGTCCCTCCCAGATATTCTTATATTGCTTATGCTTCAAACGTTTTCTCTTGTTTCTTAAAAAAGGGCGAGTTTGGAAATAAGATTATTTTAACATAATCTCTTACCAAATATGTCTTCATGCACTAAAAGTAACGAAGTAAAATTTATAAATAAGCTGTTTAAAAAAACACACCGTCCAATCCTACTAAATTACTGCATCTAAGTACCCCCACGCTGCCAGAATTCGATGCAGCAGCTAGCTGGCCGCTTCTAGGATTTAGATTCTGTCTAGGATGAGATGAAAGAGCAATACTCATTAGCAACATACTTCTGTCTTTCTTGTAGCCTTGATTTCAAATTTAGTCGCAAACCATAAGCTTTTGTACTGCTCAGATGTTCCTTCTTTATCTTAATCAGAAAACTTTTCTCAAATGGAGCGCGAACCGCTAGGTAAGTCAGCCCCGGGGCTGCCAGCGAGCGGTCGCGTTCCTCAGATGCAGAGGAGAGGAGATGCGCTTTTGGAGAGAATGACTAAAACGTTCAAGTCAGAGACCTCCACTTTCCTTTCTGCTTGCTGCAGAACGGGATGTAACCTGAATCTTTGTTTAGATTTTGCTTGGGGAGCGAGAATTTAAAAGCCAAGGCAAACGCAGAGAGCAGATTTTTAAAAAATCACGTTAACAGACCATCCCCCGTGGGGGGTTCCCCCCTCCCCCCTTTAATACTAAACCTGGAGTAAGTTGGCTTGTCCTGATAAAGATCTTAACAAGTAGAGAAGGCGGGTTTTCCTAAAGTAGGTGAGGCTATTCCTCCAGGAAAACTCCCCCCCCCACCCCTCCCTCTATGTAAAGTTCCACCCTCTGGAAAGCAAACACCCCCCCCCCCCCTTTCCTGGAGGGGCAGACTTCAGTGGAGTCAGAAAAGGAATCTCAAGTACGATCTGTCAGAGAGCGGTTGCGGCCACTGCGGCTTCTCTGGACGAAGACTCACTTGTGACATTCCTATCCTCCTCGGTGTTAGCTTTTATTAGTTCTTTGGGGCGGGGGAGGGGGAAAGATCTGTAGCCACGGGCAGCCTCTGATCCTCCGGAGTTGGTATGTGATAAGCGGCCCTAGCAGTGCCATGTATTGGAAGAGCGATCAGATGTTTGTGTGTAAACTAGAAGAAAAGGACGTGCCGGACCTGGCAGTTCCCCTAGAGAAGGTGAGCGAGCCGATGACTGGCCCGGCCAGTTGAATTGCAGTTTCCTTGGAACACGAGTTGTTTTGGCTTCTGAATGAGGTTCAGAAACTACCTGTAACCGGCCTCATCTTCAGACCTGGCAATTTTTTTTTTTATTACGTAGTAGCGCTAGTCCGTAATCATTGCCCCCCTCCGCACAAGCTCACTTAACCTGAGGCATGGAGACTGTAATTTGGGAGACGAAGCCTCCAGCCTAAGGCGCTCTCGGGTCCATGTGAGTCGTGCTTTTGTTCTATTTGCTATGGAGATCCGGGAGAGCGGGTCGGGAGTACAGGGCGGCTGTCGGGAGGGACCGTAGACTCCACGAGTTCGGCTGCGGGCTGACACTTGCTCGTCCTTAAGGGCCCCTGGCCGCAGGGCGACCAGCGCTACCTCTGCCCCACAACAAGATACAGGGAGATGTGGCTCCACGAAGGCCTCGGGGATCCCAGGAAGGGCCAGAAGCATCGTTTTATTTAAAACACCAGTGGAAGCAAATCCCACCGCATAAAACGAGTCTGACGGTTTGTCTGGGTTTGGGGGTGGGGGGACTGACAAGCTCTCACTTCACTCTGGTGGCAAGACCTGTGGGTGCATCGCGATTTCAGTTTGAAAATCGTTTGCAGCCTGTTTGAGGGCCTCAGGAGGACCCGCAGCAGGCACTGATGTCTTTGGACGCTGGCTGGTAACACCCGGCAAAACTGGGGCTTTCCTGCTTGAACTCTTTGTGTACATCTTGGTGCAGCTGCGGTCCCTCGTAGGGAACGCACCCGGGGGTCCCTGATAGGGTCCGCAAGACCCCCACATTCGGGCAGAATCTCGTCTGACGCTTTCAAAGCACGGAAGAAAGCGGAGGGGAAGACGAATGAGAAATACCGAAACGTGGGCCACTCGGGTTCTGGAGATCCACTAACTCCCAGGCTAGAGTTTTCATACTGCGGCAGAAAAAGCCCCCAGAGGCTGCGTTTTCTTTTAAGAACAAAACTCCAGCAAAGGCTTGGAAACACTTTAGTAACGCGCGTTGTTGCTTTAAAACATTCTGACCGAGGTTGGGTGAGTTTTTCTAATGGCACAAATTAAATTCAGCTGGATATTTTCCATTATTCGACCCGCTTTTTGCGCTGGTTAAAAATAATCCCTTAGTAGCTCAAATGTTGACTTACTGAGCAATAAGTGGCAATTTACACCTTAAAGAAACGAGTGTAAATCACTCATGGCTCTAATTGCTATAAGTTTACGAAAGAGCTGCTGGCTCGGTTTAATCTGAAGCATTTTCATTCAAATTGTCATCGGAACAAACACCAGGCTTCTTAAATCCCGCTGTAATTAGCTTTCAAGTATCCTATTAAACCTCTTCACCTTTCGGGCTATCCTATTCAAAAAGCCCCCTTTAAAAAATATATATGTGTCTTGCTCTTTTAATTGAGGTTATTAAAGAAATCAAGTTTCTTTCCCCACCCCCTCCTCAATCGTCTTTTCTTCTCTCCCACTTCACCTCCCCCCGCCCTGCACCCCCTTTAGCCCGGTGTTCCCCGCTTCGCGGTGATTGACGTCTAGAAAGAAAACGCTTTGTGCGGGGATGATTGTTATTAACTTGTTATCCCTGGCGGGGGGGTCAGGGAACTAACGTGCTCGGGTGAGCACAGGGGACCCGGCTCCCCCGGAGCTCTGCAGCTCGCCCGGCGAGCCCTTGGCGTTCGGGTGGCGGCAGCCAGCGGCTGGCAAGAGAGGCTGCGCGCCCTCGCGCCCGCTGCGCTCGGGCTCAGGCGCAGGGAAGGCTGCACGCGCAGCCCGCGCGCTGGGGCCTTCATTAGCTCGCGCCCGGTGCCGAGTCTCTCGGCCGCGTGCACGTTCTGAACTTCTGATCTTGTTTCTCCCTCGGTTCCTTCCATCCCACCCCTCAGTGCCGGGGGCTCATGTCGGACGAGTGCGGGCGGACTGCAGCCCTGGCGGCTGGAAGGACTCGGAAAAGTCCCGGAGAAGACGGACTGGTGAGTGGGGAGGCGGGCGAAGGACAAGGGACAACTGTCCGCGAGCTCTTTCCTGGGCCAGTTGGCCCCACTGGAAGCGGGTGGAGGGCCGGAATGGGTGGGAAGTTAGCTGGCTCAAGTGGCCGGCAGGGTTGCATAGCTCCCGGGGTCGTCGAGGTCAGGGGTCAGCAGCCCCAGAGGGTACGTGGCCAGAGCTGGGACCTGGGAGAGAGAAGTAGAAATGAGACCTCATAGACGGGGTGGGGGTCGACTGGGGGAAGGGAGGGGAGGCGTTGGGGATTCCCCCGTGGGTAGGTGGGTTGCGAAAGGGTAGGAGGGGTCTAGAACTGCCTGCGCGTTTCCTGCAGGTGAGCCCCGAGGGAGCTGGGGACGAGGACTCGTGCTCCTCCTCGGCCCCGCTGTCCCCTTCGTCCTCGCCCCAGTCCATGGCCTCGGGCTCCGGCTGCCCCCCTGGCAAGTGTGTATGCAACAGCTGCGGCCTGGAGATCGTGGACAAATACCTTCTCAAGGTAGGATGGAGCCGCGGGGTTAGCGTGGAAGCTCAAGGGAAAGAGAAAAGCTCCCTGACCGCCCTTTCCATCCAAGTTCTCAGTAGTGATTGTAGACCTCAGAAAATTAGCCCAGTTTAGGGCGACTCATACAGTGAGTCAAGTGTGATTAAAAAAAAAAAAAAGGCTCTTTACATGTTGCTGCAAAATAGTTTATGCGAGACATATCCTGGTGTAGAAATGCCAGTTCCCTGGGTGAATGTACCATAATCAAACTGATTCGTAGACAGACGTGAAGTTGGGGAAACCCTTGCTCAGTTTGAAAGGCTTGCCTTCTCATTTCTTTACCAAGCCCCAAACCATTGCTTTCTTAAACATCTTGGTTTTAACTGATCCCTCCACCCAAGTAACGCCCACGCTCCTGTCTGCTTAGAAGAGTTCCAGGTCAGTATGTGGTAACTGATTTCCCTTTGCAGTGTCTCCTTTGGCGTAAGCCATTGTGAAGTACCTTAAATTATTTTTTTCTGGATACTTTTTAATATAGTCTTATATTTATTTACAGTTACTTGAAACTCTTCCAAATTAAGAAAGTTTATAGGAGCATTTAAATAAAAAAATTTTTTTCAGTACCTTCCTGCTCTTAAGCCCACCCAATGCTGTTGTTATGTCCTCTCCAGTGCTTAAGGAAAAAGATGGAAAATGATGTGAAGTTAGACATGCACACACACGCACACACAAGAGCCTCCGATGAAGTGTTTCAAGTGGTTTCAGAGTTGACTGTCTTAATTTGTTTTACTTTTCTCTTGAAATATTGTGGGGGAATTTTGGAGTAGAAATTCTGGCAGGCCCAGTTATCCATGTCATTGCAGGCTGGATCATGGTCCCAAGTGTCTTAATCCTAATACATTAGGTTTTCAACTTCAATAGCTTTTTAAAACCACTATGTAAAATAATAGTTTCTCTTAAACTGAATTAGTTGCAAACCAGTTCACTTTCTATTCCCTCCCCACAATGTAAGAGGTTCAAAAGGATTAATTATGGAGAGTATGAGTTCAAAAAGTGAATTAGTGGAACTCTGTAAATTTCTGTCATTGCACAAAACTGCTTTATCTGTAAAATGGGAATATTACCCTATACAACCCAGATACAGTACCAAAAAAAGTTTTAAAGGTTTTAAAGTTTTGAAGGAAAGGTTTAAAAATAACTAAGTCTGTCCTACTTGGTGGTTGATCATTATAGTTGGCAAATTAACATGGCTTTCTCTTTAAATCTGCATTCTTAAAATTCCAATTTCAATGTTGCTAAACCTGAGCCTTTTGATATTTTAAAATCATCTTTTGAACCAAAACCAACTGCTTATTTTCAATGAGCCCTCCCAATAATTAGCTGAATTTTTAAAAGAATTTCTCTGAAATATGTTTATGAAGACTTTAACACTTCATAACAGAGAAAATTAGGATGAAGTAACACTAATCACATCCTCTGGAATAGTTTCTAGTGTTTACCTTGTATAAATATATATTTACATATCTTCTTTGTATTATAGACAATACCTGCCATCTGAGTTATGCAAAGCTTTTTTTTTTTTTTTTTTGTAATGAGACAGGAGTCTGCCCAACAAAATCTTCCACATGAATCTTATTCTTGTAGAATACTTATATATGAGTGTACTGGCACCAAATTAAGTCTGATACTGTATGACTGTCTTAAAACTCCAAGTTCTTAACTCCATACCTCCCCACACTTTGATTATTCTTCCAGATAAATTTGAATTCAAACTTGGCATTGGCTAAAAAATAGACCTAGTATAGGAATAGTATTTAAGGGTATATCTAATAGAAAAACACTGTCTTGTGAGGCAAGTAAAACGGAATTAGAACAGAAAAGTATAAAAGGAGTTAGATATATCTTTGCCCCATTTATTACTTTAGTGTTTTGTGATTTTGGTGGTTTTCTGGCTTGGTCCTACTCCTATGTTTAAGCATTTATGCTGATTGTATCAATATTAGTCATCAGTAAAGGTTTATAGTTTCCAGAATCTTCTTTCTTTGCTTCACTTTATTTACTCCCTGCCCCCAAAAAAGGAAGATTAAGGGACTTCATTTTTTTTGTTGTTTGTTTTTTGAAGTCAATTTTGAGGAAAGATGCCAAATCAGGTATTAGGTTTAGCTTTTGTAGACCATGGCTCCACCCTAAAACCTTGCTTTAAAGTACAAAACAAAACAAAATAAAACTTGGATGTGACAGAAATACAGAAGTCCCTGAACAGTAGAATACTAAAAAAAATCATCTACCTTTAAACTTTATATTAATTGGCCACATTTTAGGGGGCAAAGAAAAAGGGAAATATATCTTTACCTCCAGGACAGTATTCATCATGGTTAATATTTTAAATTTCAGTTTTCTCTGATTTCCCCCTATTATTGGCTTCTTATTTTCAGTGTTTTCTATCGTGCATATATAATTCTTTTAAAGAAAAAAACTAAAGTATAAAACTTAAAACCTCATAAAAAATGAGCATCTCATTAATGCTTTGGAAAGAGGTATTTCCCTCTAATTAGAAGCCAATAAATCTTTTTACATTAAGTATAAAAGTTTTGTATTTTGTATCACGGAAAAATATGTTGAACAGTACAATCTGACAAGATCACTGGATAGAAAAATCTTTATTATGAAATAGTATAGCAAAAGCCAAACCTCATGGTAATTTACTTTCCTGTTTTAGTCATTAGATCCATTTGTAGGGTGCAACTGGTGTTTTTGCATCATTGCTCTTCTTTTACATGAAATTTAATTAAGCATAAATCTACTTGTTGTGTCTGTTTAACAGAGCAAACCTTATGAGCAGCCCAATTCAACTAGCACACATCTTCATTCTTAAAGGCTAAAATTGTGCTTATGGTATTGTGGCAACAGTGTAAAGTGAGAGTAATTATGATTTGTTTTCCTGAATTGGTGATATTTCTTGTTGCTATTTAGAAAGTATAAAAGTGATGTGTTTTTTTTGTTTGTTTGTTAAATACCATGTTATATCTTACTACTTGAAGTGTAAATGGAAAATAATGCTGTTTGTTCCCCTGTTGCCAAATCATTAAGTAGTCTTACCATTGTTTTACTCCTTGGCTCTATTGCCAGGGCTACTGCTTTATTACCCTTTAGAGCTTCCTTAGCAATTTCTGGTTTGTAAGGGAAATGGATTGCCTAGTTTCTTTATTAGTGTGAGTATCTTATGAAGCAATTTTCCACTTTCTTTTTTGCTCTCTTTAACAGGTATACAGTTTATAATTGTTTGGACAAAAAATAGGTTGTTAGTCTTGACTTCCTTAAATACCAGGTTTCATTATAGGAAGAACCTAGGAAAAGAAAAACAAAAAAATCTCTACATAAGACTTTAACCAAAATGTTTCTGGTGCTCAAAGAGGTGGGGTGAGAAGAAAAGAAAAAGAAAGAATAAACCTGAATTCTTTAGAGGAATTTAAAAAAACATAAACACAAATGTGGCGTATAGTAGTGTGATTTTCTAGTTGGAGTCTAAAATAGACTCTATCCAGATGCATATTTATATAAATGACACTGTTTGGATGGAAACATCCAGAGCATATGTTAAAATATGATAGGGCCAGTGTTGCCTCACATACAAAACAGTGAATGGGTTCTTCATTGTAGTGTCAGATTGCTTCTCATCTGCCCTGCTTTCCTTCCCAGGTGAATGACTTGTGCTGGCATGTCCGGTGTCTCTCCTGCAGTGTCTGCAGAACCTCCTTAGGAAGACACACCAGCTGTTATATTAAAGACAAAGACATTTTCTGCAAACTCGATTATTTCAGGTACATGGTGAATATTTTTCTTAGTATACAATTCAAGAAATTTTATGAAAACAATTTTATAATGATTTCACCTGTTGGACTTTTTCTTGTACAGTTTTATTTATTGAAGCCCTATTTTTTCAAATGATGGATTTCAAAATATTGGGGTGTAAATTATATTAAAACACAATAAGTATGTTTATATGGCTTTTAGGAATTTAGAATACAAAAGTTAATTCAAAAAAGATTTTCACTCTGGAGAACGAAAGTTTTATGTATTACCAACAGAAGCTTTGCTGTGCATGGGTATAAAGTATAAAATACAAAATGACTTATTGTGACAAAGTTCTTTCTTTGGGGGAAATGATAAGATGACATAAAATCATTTCGGGGGGAAAAAACTGAAAAAAAGCTTTGAACAATTTACCATAGAAGGATCCCAGTTATACACCTATAAGATGACAAGAGTTTGGATACTGTGATCAAGTACATTGGCCAGAAGTACATTGGTCAGGATTGTAAGTACACTCCATTGAATTATTCTGCCTAGAAATTCAATTTCTTTGTCTGTTTTTGGATCTTTAGTTTGTGAGATTATATTTTCACAGGATATTAAATGTAACATTTTCACACTCTGATCTCCTTATAATTGTTTAAATGTAAAGTTTTTTTCTAGGATATAATTCAATTCTTTATGGACAAGCTGTTGGAAATTGAAATGGTTTGTAAGCATGAATTTTGAAATTACTATATTTCTTTTTATTTGCATTTGCAAATGAAGAGGAATGTTCATTGTGAAATTAGTAAATTAATACTATGTAGCAAAGTTTGCAACACTTATTATGTTGTCATACTCCATTTATGGATGTTATATTGTTTATGGAGTGTATGTTATACTGTATACGTTATACTTCATTTCAAAAAGTGATTTCACCTGTAATCCCAGTGGCTCCAGAGCTAAGGCAGGAGGATCTCAAGTTCAAAGCCAGCCTGAGCAAAAGCAAGGCGCTAAGCAACATAGTGAGACCCTGTCTCTAAATAAAATACAAAATAGGGCTGGGGATGTGGCTCAGTGGTTGAGTGCCCCTGAGTTTTAATCTCTGGTACCCTCCCCACAAAAAAAGTGATTTTTAGACAGAGTGTTTAGTGATTGATTTGAATAAAATTGCTGGGTGATTTGAAGCACTTCGTAATACCCAGAATCATTTATTCTATGAAAATCACAGAATTTATGATCAGTCAAAATGTATATTTCTTATTAGGTTTACTCTCCATTTCTTCTACAGTAGTAAAGTTTACCTTTCTCTTTCACTTATGATATGCTGATCTTACTTTTTTTTTATGGTAAATTAAAGCCCTTTGAAATACTTGGTTTTAAGGTTGAAAATCTTGTTCTTCAGGACTTTTAAATACTTCATATTTTATTATATTCCGAAATTTATTTTTAGGATTCAGTTTTAATATTTTTTTTTTAAATAAATAACATCTGGTAGTTTCTCCAAAGACACATCCAGGAGGCGGCGCATGTACATGCCCTGCTCTAGTGTGATCTGGGTTGCGGGGGCTGGTGATGGTGACAGGAGTCATGACAGCATCCAGTCACTCAGCCTGGAAGAAAAAAAGAAATATTTACACCTATCTCTGGCATTCTGTTAAGACTGATTTGCATCTAATATTTAAATATGTCTCCGAAGTTCTAGATAATGTTTCTTCCCTTCTGTGGATAGCAATGCCTTAGCTTTTCCGGGGAAGGATACAATTCCAAGTTTTCTTCTTCACCCACTAGGATGAAGAATTTCTATTCTGTGTATCATTTGATAATTTCTATTTTAAATGTTCTAATATCTTCTTTATGGTATTTTTATGGCATTTTCTAATCTCAACTTCCCAGTTTAAGATTTGTTTTGCTTTTTGATGCTAGAGATGAAACCCAGGACCTTGTGCATGCTAAGCACATGCTATACTACTGAGCTACACCCCGGCCCTGAACTTGGTTTTAAGAAGTCAATATTTATATCTTGAGTTTGTATACTTTTGCACTTTTACTTTTTCTGTCCATTTCCCCTCCCCCCACCTTGTGTATTTGTATCTTGAGTCTCTAAATAAATTTATAAATGCTTTGATATTTGACCCAGTAAGAATATTAAAATTCATGTTTTGTTTATTTTAAAAGAAAATTCAGTCTTCATTTACAGCAGTCATGAGGTTTTATTTTTAAAAATAGATCTGAATTGTGATCTTAAATCTTGATTTCTTACTATACTGACTTTTAGAAAATATTTTTATTTTTTTCAAAATGTTTAAATGCCAGTGGAGTATATAATGTGTTTAATATTAATCTGATAAATATCTCATGAAAGCATTAAAATCTTTACTGTTCTGCCCTTCTCTTTACTGTAGAAGGTATGGAGCTCGCTGCTCTCGATGTGGGAGGCACATCCATTCTACTGACTGGGTCCGGAGAGCCAAGGGAAATGTTTATCACTTGGCGTGCTTTGCCTGCTTTTCTTGCAAAAGGCAACTTTCCACGGGAGAGGAGTTTGCATTGGTGGAAGAGAAAGTCCTATGCAGGGTGCATTATGACTGCATGCTGGATAATTTAAAAAGAGAAGTGGAAAATGGTAAATATGTACTTAAAATACTTTTGAGTCTTTGGGGACAGTGAATACAGGGATAAAAATGATTTTTCCCAAAGTCATCTTAATGCATTATTTTGTGCAAAGTATAATTGTGGTAAAATTCATTAAGCACTCTTCTGTTAGTGATGGTCTCCATCTGTTTATTTATAGGAGAAACCATGGTGTATGTATAAGCTTTGTGCCATATTTTCAGGCAGCAGATTTTAGTTAAGGTTCAGATTTTCTTTTTGAAAACAATTATTTTGTTTTATTTGCCTTCCAAAGAATGGGCCTTAAATGTGACTTCTAAATTTTTGTACTTTTGACTGAAAACATAAGTCTATAAGTGGAATATTGTTTCCGCAATATGTTTACAGTGTGTTTTAAAACTTAAAGAGATTTTACAATCTAGAAGATATGTACAGTTTCACAATAAGCCAAGAGATACAAGAAAGCTATTACTGCATGATTGGTGGACTGATTTGAGTTACCAATATGTATGGTACATTTTTAAAATGCAGGTAATGGGATTAGTGTGGAAGGTGCCCTCCTCACAGAACAAGATGTCAATCATCCAAAACCAGCAAAAAGAGCTCGGACAAGCTTTACAGCAGATCAACTCCAGGTAGATGTGACAATGAATTTAAGATTTCTGGAGCCCTTCCCCACCAAGAACAAAATTCCAAAACAAAAAGCCAAATTCATGATGCCTAAAAACATGTTTTCTGAGAGGTTATACTATGCTTTTTTTTTTTTGAGAACTTAATGAATGTATGAATATATACTTATTGCCATGAAATGTTTATCAGTATTCCAACACACTGTGTGTATAGTCTAGTCATGCAAGTGCTGTTTCCTTGGAGTCTTTTGGTATCAGCAGCACAGTAGAAACAAAATGTTGATCTGTTCTGATTTCATGATAACATCAGTCTAATCTAGCCATATATGTTATGACATGTAATCACAACAGGAGACAAACTATTCTGAGACTCTTAACAGAAAGAGACAGCATGTAGGTCTATGGGACTCTAATGTGTTAGTCTTTTTAAAAAAAATTACAATGAGCCTCTTAATGGACAAGATTGTTATATTTTTTGAGTAAGAAAGAATTGAGTGTTCCTTGAAGTAAATAGTAACATGCTGCTGGTTGACTCCAATCAAGTTGTCCGTTTCTTGTTTTTAAAAGGTGTAGAGGAAGTAATTATATAATTTGATGTTAAAGGTTGGCTATACCCCTGAAAAGGATGGGATTATTTTCAGTTTAGTTGTCCTAAATATAATTGTTGTAAATTTGGTTGATCCAAATTGTCAAGAAGATAAAAGTTTATATTTAAGTCTATACATATGATGATTATTTCTGGCACTTTTTCAGATAAGAAAATAACTTTTTCTAAAAGATTTATGTCGCTTAGGTTATGTGTTTTATGTTAAGGTAATGTAATATTTATTGGGCACCTACCATGTACAACTGGGTACCTTAGACACAGCATCCATTTTAGTTCAGACTTCAAAAGACATTTATGCATTTGTTAATGAGTGAAAGCAATATTTTGAAAAATCATATGTAGCAAGACTTGCTGGTATTGAAGATGGATGCCATATAAAAGTGTTTTAAGAGAGAAGTTTTTATTTTGAGAATGATTACAAACATTCTGAGGGAACTTGGCAGTGGGAATGACTTGAGCATTAAAATCTAGGACCATTCAGAAAAAAGTTCCAAATACATCATTGTTTTGTATTTCTTAGGCATAAAGTTACTTGATCAGTAAGTAATAAATGAAAGATAAGGCAATTAGAAGAAATATCTCTGTTCAAACCTTGCTTATCTTGCAGTTTCCATGAGTTAAAATGGAGATCACACAAGTCCTTAGAGACCCAGTTGCTAAAAAGTGTCTGGGTTAAAGCAGAATCTCTAATACAAATGTACTGTTTTTAAAGTGGACAGTTCCCATGACGAATTGTCTATAATTTGAAAAATTACAAAGGTTGATAATTTTAATTTGAAGTAAAAAATTTATTTATAATTGTGTGAATTTGAAACCCCTGTGTATAGACATAAGGGAATATCTGTGAAAGCCTTGGTATGACAAGTCCTGTGCCAGGCATCTTATCTGTATTATCTCCTTTAACTCCTATAGTTATTCCTTGATGTAGGTAGCCTCTCCAAAAGATTCAGGAACTCCCCTGAAGACAGACCTCCAGGAGAATGGTAGAAAAGACATCTGAATCCTGGTTCCCTAACCTGGTCTTTTTGTTTGGTTTGGCTTCCCAGTAGACCATGAGAGAAAAATGTGCCTTAGCAAAACTCCATCTAATGGCAACATCAACAGCTAAAACAGAGTGGGATTCTGGATCTTATGGGTAGTCTTACAGTTTTAAGTTGTTGCAAATGTGCGTAAAATATTTAAGCCTTGTGTTATAGAAAAATGTGATCAGAATTAAAAGCGATTAACATGTATATTAGAATCATAGGTTTTAAAAAATGAAAGCATATTGATATGCTTTCAAAGGATGTTCTCATTTACTCAGTATGTAATAGTATTTATCTTATGCCAGGGATGGCTGAATCAAATGAGATACAATCCTCTAGAGGTTCTTTATAATTTAGGAATATAGGATAGCTGTGGATAAAAATATATATATATATATATATATATATATATATATTTACTTTATCAGAATCTCTAATTGTCGATTGTTTTACCTTTCTTTAAGAAACCTGAATATATTCAAGTATTTTTGCTTGAACTGAGCAAAACAGTAAGATACTATATGTGCACAGTAAGTCAAGACTGTCCATACAGTGCCTACAGTGCACAGAGAAGAGTTAAAATAGGATGAATAAATAATTTCCTGAAATTCTTTAGAAATTCATGGAGAGAAAAATAGTTTGACTCAAAAAATACATCTGCAAATACATATCAGATATTGTCTCTTTATAAAAATGATATTTAAGAAATTCCTACTAATGTTATGATTTTCCTATTATAGTTACAAATATTGGCTCAAAGATTATTACTATTAAACATGCCAAGTTTAGCTCTTACTTTAATTTTCATATCAAATTGGTCAACTGTTACTTTGTCGACTCCTGACATTGCCATAAATCTCTTGGCCTTAAAATAATGTGTCTATAGAGACTCACCCCTAGACCATGTTAGAAGAACTTGAAAAAAGGAGTGGAGTGGGCTTCAGAAGCATCTGGAGAATGGTGAAACTAAAGTAGAAATTAAAAAGCCCTTTTATTTCTTTTCATGAGACTAAATACTAATATTATTAAAAGGAAGATCAATAAGTATTTCTTAAGAATATTCCAATTCTAAATGATCACTGTTGATTTGTTTTATTCCTTGATTGAAAAATTGCTTTATTAGATATAATTTGGTCTCATTATTAAACTTGAAAACTGGATATGCATTTGTGAAAGCATGCTGTTTATTTTTTAGAGATTATCAGTAATGAGCTTCTTAGCAAACACCCAAATACTTGCTCAGATTTTTCATTTTGAAAAATTAAAACACAAAGACATGATTAACTTGGTCATTCTGTTTGTTTTTGGGATGGTACATGTCAAACTATAAACACCAATCCTCATTCATATAGGAATATATTAAAGTAACACATTTGGAGTAGGAAAGGAATAATAAAATGAACTGAGTGAGATTATAAACATTTAGGCCATTTTGCCTATAGTTATGTTTTATTATCAGTGTATAGGTTGAGCATAGCTGGATGGGAAGCCAGGAATACGTAAGTCTAGAAGAGCCACTAATCAAATCTTTTTTTTTTTTTAATATTTTTTTAGTTGTAGATGGACTTAATACCTTTATTTAATTTATTTATTTTATGTGGTGCTGAGAATCGAATCCAGTGCCTCGGATGTGCTAGGCAAGCACTTCACAACTGAGTCACAACCCCAGCCCCTCAAATCTTAATTGAAAATATAGCTTGTAACCTCAGAAGGTTTCCTGGACATTAGCCTTTTTCTACAGACTTTAACCAGATTTTACTCACTGTAAGTCTCATTCTGTCATGAACTCCCAGTGCACACTGTGTGACAGGAAAGGAGTTAACTTGGCTGTAGCCCATGAGGGTTATGAAGAGTAAGTCACTGCCCTTGTCCTCAAAGAGCTCACTTTCTGCTATGGACAGTGAACTTGCAGATGAATTATTTAGCTACCCTGTGACAAGTGCAGATGCAGATGATAGTATTACACGAGGACAATAGTGGAGAACACAGCTGATTTGCCAGTTGGAAAGAGCATTGAGGCGAGCTGTGCTCTATGTGCTTAGGTATTTTGGGCACTCATGCCCCACACTGTAGACGTGTACTACATGTTGGATGCTTCCCTGACTGTTTGCAAGACATCCTTTATGTTTTATAATCCTCCCCTCAGCTGATTGACTTTTAATAATTAAATTCAAATATCTTACTTTATTCCCATAACGATTCCCTCTTCTGGAATAATCCAGAGTCCTTGGCTTGTGCTTGTATTCTGATATTCCCTACTCTCCTCTACTTTTCTCCCTTTACTTCTTATTTTAGGTCATTATTGGCATGTCTGTATCTTTCAGGAAAATGAAGACCAGGGAAGGTTTTCTTCATATCTCATAGCACTTGACACAGGGATTCCAATCCAAAGACTCCCATCAGAATCACCTGTGAATTGTTTCAATATAGAGATGTTTAGATCCTGATAAATTCTTTTTTTAGAGAGAGAGAGAGAGAGAGAGAAAAGAGAGAATTTTAATATTTATTTTTTAGTTTTCGGCAGACACAACGTCTTTGTTTGTATGTGGTGCTGAGGATCGAACCCGGGCCGCATGCATGCCAGGCGAGCGTGCTACCGCTTGAGCCACATCCCCAGCCACTGATAAGTTCTTATTCAATGGACTGATGATGTCTTTTTTTAAAAAAGATCTTAAATAGTCTTTTGCATAAAGTGAATGATCCCCAAATGTTGGCATCATTACAACCAAGCGGAATTCATCTTTGGAGCTGTTCACTATCTACAGATGCATGAAAATTATATTACTATAATTATAGATATTATACCTGTTTATATTATAGATATTGTACTTGTTTAGCTCAGTAGAGGTGGCAGATAAATGTGATATGATTTTTATATTTTATTATGTTTTCGAATGCTGGGAAGTTTAACAGAATGAATAAAATAGTGAGAATTCCATACTATTTATGCATTTCATTTATGGGTTCTAAAAATGGAAGTAAGAAAAGGTGAGTTTATTTCTAACAGCATAATTGAGAGACCAAATTTTCTGTTGAAGTGGGTTATTTTTTAAAGAGCTCAGCATAACTTTTGCATAGCAATTCACAAAATATGCCTTTTCACTTATATATACTTCCCATATTGATTTTCAAGTCGTAGAGTATAAGTATCACATTTTCTTGTGCATATCTTATCTTTTCTGTCATCAAAATTTAGATTGATCTGTGTATTTTTAACTATTTGCTATGTACATCTTTTATAAAACAGGTCATGCAAGCACAATTTGCTCAGGACAACAACCCAGATGCACAGACCCTCCAGAAACTGGCAGAGAGGACAGGCTTGAGCAGACGTGTGATACAGGTGATTATGTTAAAGGTCAATCAAGAGATACAAAAATTTCCAATTCAAGATCTTTGAGTGTGCATTGTTCTTTTGTGAAGAAATCTTATAATATTACCTTCCTGTTTTAGGTCTTTTCACACTCTAAATCAATTTTTTAAAACCTGATAAGTAGTCTACCTTGGGTCAGGCTGCCTTTTGCCAAATGACTCTTTGCATGTTTTCATTCAGTGCTCACAGCAGCCCCAAGATCCTCGGGCTAAGAAAGAGAACTGAAATTTCAAGCACAATCTGGTTCTGAATTCAGTGTTTTCTACTTTTTTTGACTGTGTGTGTATGTGTGTGTGTGTATGTTTGTGTGTGTGTGTGTATGTATGTAGGTGTATGTATGTTAAGGGTATTAGTGGGCTTTGCTAAAAGATCCAGGAAGAGGGAGTTATGTAAATGAAGCTAGGGAGGGATGAATTAGAGTAAACTTATTAGAATGTAGAATTGAGGTTTAGAAATTATGGAAGATGAAATTGTTGTAGTTGCAGAGGCCTATGAATGCAGAGTTCTTTTTGGTCAGAAAAAGGCCATTATTTGTGACTTGAGGAAGAGCTTGTGACAGCATATGAGAAGAATCAGAATCCAGAGAAGACTAGTTAGAAGCAGACAACTTAGTTGGGATACCCAGCAAAGTAGTGATTTGGGGGGGGGGTGCTTGGGGGTGTAGAGTGAGTTAGTGGGCCTAGGATTTGTTGGAGAAACATTTTATTAACTAGAATTTGCTCAAGAAATGTCAGGAGCTGGATGATAGGGATACCAGAAAAGGACTTGGGGACTATAGTAGAGAAGCAGAGAGAATCAAAATATCAATAGGATTGGTACTCTTAACAGAAATAAAGTTAAAAAAAAAAACACCTGGTTGGTTGTTTGGAGGAAGATGAAGTCCCTTTTAGTTGTGTTAATCATTCAGTGATGGTGGCAGTTGGATATGAAGACAAGTATTTGAAAGGATGAACAGTACTAGAGCAAAGAGATCCTTTGGGTTAGATCCTTTAGAAGGAGATCATAGAGCATAAAAAATGAGCTGGGAGGCACCTGCCTGTAATCCCAGCAGCTTGGGAGGCTGAGGCAGGAGACTCCCAAGTTCAAGGCCAGCCTCAGCAATTTAGCAAAGCCCTAAGAAATTTGGTGAGACCTCATCTCAAAATAAAAAATAAAAAGGGCTGGGGATGTGGTTCAGTGGTAAAGCACCCTTGGGTTAAATCCCAAAGGTGATTGTACCAAAACAAAACAACAACAACAACAAAAACCGAAAAGGGTGGGCGTTAGAAAACATGTCAGAGGTACTGCCATTTGAGTGGCACATAGTATTACTTAGAATCAAGGAAGGAGCCTAGTGGAGAAGCAGTGGGAAGCTTGGAGAAGAGTGGCTGCTTCAGGAAGGAGGCAACCAACTAACAAAATGGTATAAAAAGAATAGTGAAGTAGAAGGTAAATAATACTTGAGGTTCAAAAAAGTTTAAGGAACTAAAGTAAAATGAAATTTATTTGGGGGTGGTGGATAAATACCTTCATTGTATTTGTATTTTATTAAGTTGGGAGGTTGATACACAGGTATATATTCTTTGAGAAGCTAAAAATGTTTTACATTAACAAACTGTCTATATAAAGAAGCATACGGGAAAGACCTAAGAACACTGCAGCTTCTCTAAAGATTAATTCCCCAGTGGTTTTAGTTGACTGCAGTATGAGGCTCTCTTGGGAGGCGAGTCCCACATCCTCTGCACATTTCAGATGTTCAGAGTATTGTGTTTATTTTAGTATTGTGTTTGGCTTGTTAGCCAATCTGGAAAGAATGCTGCCTTTAAGAAAAGCTACCAAAGTAATAAAAAAAATCTTAAAGTTGCTATAATATTGAAGGCAATAAGGATAGTTAACTGGAGATGGTCAGGAAATAGGAAAGGAACAATTAATACAGAATAGGTATCTATAAATGTGTATAAAGATTGGTCTGCAAAAGAATATTAAAAAAAAACACTGATGTTCACTCATAATGAACTTTTTCATGTAAAAAAAAGACTCAAATATGGTATGGCCATCACTAAAGATCATTTCATGTGCTTGGAAATGAAATTTCCTTTGAAGGCAGGTCAGACTCAAAGGTCCAGTGTTGCTTCTAATCTAAGACTTTGCACATTCATAGTAATGAAGGCTACAAGAAAGCCAGATTCATTGACTGTTAGGATTAGACTATTTTGGTCAGAAGCACAATAGAATGGAAGGCCTTCTTAGAGCATTTCTTATTATATTTGAAGGACTAAGGGTCCCAATCAGACATTTGTCTTGTAATTCTCAGGTATTTAAGTCCCAGTATTATGTGTATGTTAACTTGATCTCAAATGCTAAAACTCACAGAATATAGTTTTGATTTTGGCTTTTTAAATGTAAAGATTGCATGTTGGATATTTTTCATAAGCTGACAAAGAGTACTAGCAAGCAAATGTATATATTATTTTTATATATACATATGTGTATATTTTATATATACACATATGTATATATAAAAATAATATATACATGTAATTTAAATATATAGTTCTTCACAGTGTTTTTGAAGAATTAAGTACTATGACTTCAAATAGTAATTATGTCTTTCCCCCAACCTCCTTCCTAATGTTGGGCACAGCACTTGAGACACATTAAGGAAAAGAGTTTTGATTACTAGATCTCTGTTGTAATATGCAAACTAGGTCATCCAAAGATGAGGTGGAAGCAATGGTCTGACACATGGAAAGTCTCAACTTCACTAGCTTTAAGTCTGCTTAGTGGGACATTTGTAATAGCAGATTGTCATTGTGCTAAAGTCAGAGAATAAAGATGGATGATTTTTAATACTTTTCATCCAGAGCCAATCATTATTCATATACCCTTTCAGATAAGTTAATTATGAGTTGTATATTTTACAGAAACAGGGTAAAACATTATTGGTGTTGTTTTCAATCAGTGTGATAGGATTGCCCTTCCAAAAGCTGAGATGCACATAATTTTTATTGCTGAATATATTGAGCATTGGATAATTTATTTTGTGTCTAGTTTTTCATTATCTTAAAATGTTGCCATTTTAAAGCAGGGAGCCAGTGGTGCAAGCCAGTAATCCCAATGAGTCAGGAGGACCTCAAGTTCAAAGCCTGCCTCAGCAATTTAGCAAGTTCTAAAGCAACTCAGACCCTGTCTCTAAATAAAATATAAAAAGGCTGGATATGTGGCTCAGTGGTTAAGCACCACTGGGTTCAATCTCCCCACCCCGCAAAAAATGTTGCCATAAGCAACACTATATTTTGTTTGTATATTCAACAGTTTCCTTAGGATAAATTTCTAGAAGTGAGATTGTTGAACAAAAAGATAGGAAGTGAGATCGCTGAATAAAAAGAACATTTTTAGAGTCTTTATGCAAAAATTGCTTTCTAGAAAGTTCATACCATTTTTCTTTTCCAGCCAGTACCTATATACAGGAGTTTTCACAGGAGTAAGATTGTTAAATATATTTGATATGTTTTTTTATATTTTTATATCAATGGAGGGCTGGGGATACAGCACAGTTGGTAGAGGGCTTGCCTTGCATGCACAAGGCCCACAAGATTGTGTTCAATCCTTAGCACCTCAAAAAAAAAATAAAAATAAAAATAAAAAATAAAACAATAAATGGAATTGAACATGTTTGCTTATTTCATAATTTAAAATTATTTATTTTCAATCTATATTTCTGTGAGTTATTTCTTCTGTCTTCATCTTACTAATTTTTATTAATCCTGTTTGTTGTGTTAAACTTTCATGGTCTATCATTTTCCTTTTCATTTTTTTTCCTACATAGAACTTTATGTTTTTATGTATTTAAATTTCTTAATCTTTTGATAGAGAAGCATAGCACAAAGGCCAAAATTATCTGAAAAGTATGTTATCAATATTGGCTTTTGTTTTCTTAAAAATTCATGGTTTCAATGATTTGTACCTAAACTTTATCTGGATTAGTTTCATCTGAGGTAAAGATTTATCTGTATTTTTCTTTTGAATTGTTAACCAGTTTTCCCTAAATCAGTAAGCCATGCTTTCACAATAATACTAAATATCATCTTTCTCATATACTAAATTGTTGTATTTGTCTTTTAGTTCTTGCATTCTAAAGGATTCATTTTAATGTTTTTTCTTTTGCATGATGTCTCCATGACCTGTTTTCACCTTATGTAGTTTATGATTTAGAACTCCAAAATTTTAAATTGTGTTGTTCAGAGAAATTTTTAACTCTTGTTAGCAATTTGCAAAGCAGGAGGAAATTGCAAGTAGGTGAGGAGTCCAAAGGACTTGTATTTGAATTCTGAAAGTGGATAGCACTTTTTTTTTGTTTGAATTAATGTTAGTGTAACTATTCTTCCATTTGTCACACATTCTTCCAAATTTCCAATTTATTTCCAAAGTCTGACAATATTTTTTGTTTCAATGAAAAGATAATAATTTTGTTGTTGTTGTTGTTTGTTGTATATTCCATACAATTTACTAGAGACAAAAAGATATTTTGAAGAAATTCCAGGAAGCACAGTGCAAGTTTATGAGGCTGTATGTAGTTCTCTGGAGTGTGTGACTTCTGGAAAAGGCAGGTGGCATCACTTCTCTCCACCCACTTGCCAGGAGGACAGATGTCTTTTGGGTGAGACTGGTGACTGCAGTGACATCATCGACTGTTTGCCTGTGGGCTGACTGGAGAATTTGAGTAGGGTCTCTGTACAGTTATCTCAGGGTCTATAACTCAGAGAGTTCTGGGGATGGCTTCAATTCTCACTCCTTTTCCTTGGTGCATGCCAGAGACTTGTCCTGGAAACCTTCCTTGGGTGCTGCCTTTTAGCCACCTGCTCAGAGCTGCTTATACCATTACATTGTTAACTTTTACTCTTTTAGTTTTAATCTCTTGAGTTTATACTTCACCAGCCTTCTATTTTTGATTGCCAGTGGAAGGGTATATCTTTGAAATCAGGCCAACTTGTTCTTATAAATTCTTTGTAGCCCTGATTCCCTTCTTCCTTCAAGTTCCTACCAGCCAACCCTGAACAGACCAGAGATCTTGGCCATTTCTTCCCTGTTCCCCAAAGTTTCCCATCATAATTCTCTTGACATTTTGATCCCTTCCCTTATTTTTCTTCTTATGACAGAATTTTTTGGAATGATGGCAATTTACATATATATGTATATATATTATATACACATGTATATGTACATGTATGTCTATGTGTATACGTATATATGTATATATATGTATATATATATGTGTATATGGATATATGTATGTATATTTATTTTGCAGTAGCTGGGGATGGAACCCAAGGTTTCACATAGGCTAGGCAAGTAAGTGCTCTACACTGAGCTACATCCCCAACTCTGATATAATAATATTTTAATAGAGCAAAATTCTGTGGTCAAGATTTATTTCATGGCGAGGACTCCAAACAGGCTGATTAATTACTAGTAGCATTATGGATAGTCTAGCCTCCCTTACCCAGACCTGAATGTAAGACCTTGCTTCCCCTGAATTCGCTTCATTTCTGTGGATAGAATGGAAAACAGAGTAGTTAGTGCTTTACGTTTTGTGAACACTTTAATCAGTGGATGTGTTTGTATTTAGTTCTATTTAAATATTACTAGCTTTTTCTTATTATACACCTGTCCTTAACATGCTTCCTAGGAAATAGTCTATGTATTCACTAAGAGAAATTGAACTCAGCAGGTTAAAATGTTAACTGGAATAACTGAATCAAGAGGCTTATAGAAAGCTTTAAGTTCTCTGTAGGGATTTTGATCATTTGAACAAGGGTTAGAAATAAGTCCAGCAGGTGTCTAAGAATACATTTAGTAGCATTTTTTTAAGTTCTTTTAAAAAAGACTTTTCCTTTTCTTTTACCTCCAAATGCCAGTAGTTAAACCACGGACACTTTTCTGGACCTTTTCATCCCTTTTTCTACCCATTTTCCTTCTTCTCAATGTCATTTTGTCTTTTTTTTTTTTTTTTTTTAAAGATATTGGTTTAGTACAGAATCAGCTTTTAAAGTAAATCACCAGAGAGCTCTTATCTGAGGGGGAAAATATAACTGTGGTTATCTGGGTTAAAAAGTGTATTTTCTGTCTTCAGAACTTTTTTAACAGGTAAAGTGGTGTTGAATTCATTTTTAAACTGGGTTGGCAATGCACTCAGGGTGACCTACCTGACATGTGACCTTCCAACCTTGACCTACTAACCTTGCTCTTCTCCCCTTAAGGTGTGGTTTCAGAATTGTAGAGCACGCCACAAGAAGCACGTGAGTCCCAATCACTCTTCCTCAGCCCCAGTCACTGCAGTCCCGCCCTCCAGGCTGTCTCCACCCATGTTAGAAGAAATGGCCTATTCTGCCTATGTGCCCCAAGATGGGACGATGCTAACTGCGCTGCATAGTTACATGGATGGTAGGTATCCCAACATCTAACAGGTTTCTTCCAAGCAATCACTAACTGTTAACTTCTAATATTAGGTTATTGATACGACTTATATTTGGAAATATTACCTCAGTAGAAAAATATTATAGGGGGTACAGTAGACAGCACAATTGTCCCCCAATTTTTATTTCTGTTATTCCATCTTTAGGAGACAAATTTGACACTCACTTTAGCTAAAAGTGCAAATATTAATAATGACTCTTACTGCTTGATTTTTACTGTTTTTTTTTTTTGTTGTTCGTTTGTTTTTATCTGGTAAATATTTAAATAATTTATTTTCCTACAATCAAAGAAGGTATTCACACTTAGATCTTTAGATTGGGGTTTAAGTTTTGTTAAACTTTTTATTGAGGCAAATCTTACCTATAGAGAAAAGTACATGCCTAAGTTTTCAGCTAAATGTGTTAAAACAGTGAATGTGCCCCATAAATACTACCCAAGTGAAGTAGGAGAACATAATTAGCACCCCAGAAGCCTCCCTCATGTCTCCTCCTAATTATTCTTTTCTTCCAAGTAACATAGCTCTGACTTCTAAAGCCTTGCCTTAGTCTTTTTTTGAGCTTTACATAAAGTGAACCATACAGAATGTATTCTTATGTGTCTAACTCTTCAGTTACCTTGGGAGATTCATCTGTGTTGTTGCAAGAGTCAGTGATTTGTTTATCTTATTGTTATAAAGAATTCTACTGTAGGAATCTTAGCACAGTTTATCTGTTTGGCTGATAGACATTTGTGTATCCTCTAGTTTGGGTACTTATGAACATGCTGCTATGGACTTTACTGCACATGCCTTTTGGTGCACATTAATTCTATTTGATACATACCTGGGAGTGGGACAAAGGGTCTTAGGCTATGCAGATGCTCACCTATAGTCAGTTCTTCCACTTTTCTGTAGTGGTGGAACCAGTTTGAACTCTGAGCAGCCATACAGAAGAGTTCAAAGTGCTTCACCTCCCCCATAATACTTAGAATGCTATCTATAACTTTCTAATTCTAGCAAATTTGGTGGTGTAGTGCTCATTATTTTAATTTACTTTTCCCTCATGACTTATGAGAGCAAGTATATTTTCTCTTGGGTATCTGTATCTCCTCTTGTGAAAAGCTCACACATTCCTATTGATTTGTTTTTTTATAAATTGATTTTATTCCCTGGTATAATCTGCATACAATGCTTTGTGATAAATATGTATTGAAAGTATTTTCTCCTCAGTGGTTTGCCTTTTCCTCTCTTTTAATGGAATGTTTTGTTGAGTACAAGTTCCTAATTTTAATGTAGTTCATTTCATCTGTGTTTTCCTTTATGGACAGTGCTTTTTGGATGACTTAAGAAATTATTCCAATTCAAAGATAATGAAGATATTCATCCTATCATCTAGAAACTTTATCATATCTTTGACATTTAGATTTACCTTGACATTCATTTATACTTAGAAATAATTTTTGCATGTGGTGTCAGATAGGAAGTGAAGCTTTTTTGTTATATTGATGAAATTTCCCCCTCCTCTTCAGAGCCATTTTGTCTTCAATCATATGTTCATAACTTTTATGCATCAATTTCTGTACACTCTATTCTGTTTCATTATTCGATTTTGCTTTGTATTAATACCTAGTCACATTAATTATTCTAGGTCTGTAATTCTTATTAGCAAATAGTACAAGTCTTTCTTTGTTGTTATTCAAATTTGTTTTGCCTGTTCTTGACCCTTTGTGTTTTCATAAATTTCACCAGCTTGTCAATTTCCATCCTGCAAAGAGAAAACAAGATTTTGAAACAATAATCCAGTAAATATATAGATCAATTTTAGGAAAACTACTATCTTAATAATGTTAATTTCATATCATGAACTTTAATATGTCTGCATATTTAATTCACATTTTAAAATTATTTCTTATATTTCAGAGCTTTTTAATAATCTTGCATACCTTCTATTATTACATTTATTTCTCAACATTTCCTATGAAGCAGTTGTAGGAGATATTTCCTGTGTATGTAGAAATCTAGGTTATCAGTTATTTCCTTACACTGTACTTTGAAGATATGACTACATTCTTTTCTGATTTCCATTTTGTCTGTTTCGAGTATGGATAGCCAATTGACCTGACATCATTTATTGTTGGTCAGCTCTTATCCTTATCTTGCTCCTTTGCAAGTAAATGGCTTTTCCCCCCAGATTTTCTCTTCATGTTTGGTTTTTAAAATTTTTGTTTTGTGCCTGAGTATGCTTCTTGAATATGTAGTTTGATGTTTTTCATTATGAGACACTCTCAGCTTCTTTCTCTTAAAAAATTGTTTTCTGCCCATGGGGAAAAAAATCAAATTTTGCAATCTTTTTACTCCCCATGCTTTAATCTAGATATTTTCTTCTGACCTATCTTAAAGTTCAGTAATTCTTTCTGTATCTAAGAACCCATAAAACTCATCCATTGGCTTCTTAATTTCAGTTGTCGTGTTTTTCATTTTGAGAATTTCCATTTCTGTACAGATGCCTCTTTTTTCACTATCTTCCTTATTTAAATTATTGTTATATTAATTACAATTATGCTAAGTTCATGTGTGAAAACTCCAGCATCGGGGTCTTTTGTAGGTCTGTCCTGTTTTTGTTGTTTCCTGTTTGTTTTCAGTCAAGTCATGTTTCCTTATTTGCCTTGTTATCTTTTCATTGTGTTTCAGATGATGGGTCTGAAAAAAACTAAAAAAAAAAAAAAAAATTGAGGCTCTAGATGATATCTTTCACCAGAGAGGATGAGTTTTACCTTAGCACAGTGTTGAAGTAGGGGGAGGTAAATTTAGCCCAATCAGTCTTCATGAGGCTGGTATATTTGTTTTGCTGCTTCTTGAATTTAGCACTTTGGTATTCCAAATAAAAGCCTAAGTTTGTTTTTGTTTGTTGTTTTCAACAACTTTTTTCTCATTAGTGGGTCCTAATCTTTTATTTTTGTATCCTATCATTCAGCCAAAATCTAACTTCTAAATGTTACTTTTATTTTAAAATTGTCCCTTAGCCTCATATTCTCTCCTTCCTCTCTGGTACTTGACTTTGCAATTTCTCACTACTTTGGTATCTTTCAGATGCTTTCCAATAGATTTTTAAAAATATCATCCAGCATTTCTAATTGTTAGGTTTGAAGCAACACAGCCCTTGCTGAAAGTAGGACTTCATTTTAAGTTTTGATTAAATAAAAAAAAAAAATCCAAAGCTATACCATTGTTGCCATTTGTTTACACTAGCATTAACTTTGTGTGTGTTCATATGAAAGATTGTGGTACTGCCTGAATCAAATGTGTTTTGGTGTATGTTTGGGGAGGTGGTACTAAGGGAACTTGGGAGGACATTCTGTACAGACTCCTGCATGTTAAAACCAACAATATCTCTGCAGAACAAGCTGTGTGGTTTTCTAGCTACAGTGTAAAGTGCAGTGAATGGGGTATGGATGGAGTACATTAAAGTGGCCAAAGCTTGTGGCCCCAATAAATATTTTAGGGGTAAAATGGATTCTTGTTCAATACAGTACCACTATGCTGAATAAGTTACTGTTCCTGCTGAGGTCTGTGGAATGAGTATAGCTTGGTGCCCTCAGCTGTAATGCATGAAGAAAACACATTGCTTTGAATTGTTTTTGTTTGTTTTTAAATCAGTTTTATTCACTCTTAAAAAAAAAAAAAACACCTGATCCTCAAATTTCTTTCTATTTCTATTTTGTAGCTCATTCACCAACAACTCTTGGACTCCAGCCTTTGTTACCCCATTCAATGACACAACTGCCAATAAGTCATACCTAATTTCTTTTTTCAGGGATAAAAATGATTAAGGATATAACTTGTCATTTATTATGTATAAAATATCATTGAAAAGATATTAATGTTAATTTTTTTATTTAACACCAAAAGCATTTCCAACATCACTTTGCTGCCCAGGTATGTATCTATAGTTGGCCTGCAAGACACTTTTATTCTTCATTTTTTTTTTTTTTTGGTAAAACTTATGTTTACAAGAAGAAAACAAAACAAAACATGTTTTTTTGTATTGTCTGGAAATAGTTCACTCTAGTGTGTATCTGTTAATTTATTTGTCATCAAAAGAGCACTTTGCCTAAAAGAAAGGACTGACAAATGTGCAAAATGTTTACAATCTTTTGTGAAATTGTAGTATATCATTAGTTTGTATCTGTAAGTTATTGTTATAAATATTACCTGTATTTTTTTTGTTATATACAACTTTATACTTTGAAGCTTGTATCTGTGAATTTGCAACTGAAATTATTTTGCCAGTGTTTTCTGAATGAAGGGAGTAAAGCTTCTGTTGCAGCATGCCAGGCAAACACACTCTGGTGTCTGTGGTTGATGAATTATGGCTGTAAATAACACTATAGTTTAATAAGCCCACCATTCTAAGTTTATTAAACATTTTCCATTCTTGTGAAACTTTCAACCAATTTGTCCTTTTTTGTGTGTGTTTTCAGCAATAAGTTGTTTTTAATGTCTTTAAAATCTACTCTTAACTTAAAAAAGTCATTTTATTTTGAGCTGTGTTGTAAGTGCGTTCTAATAGGAAACTCATTTGTAGATGATTGTACTCATTCAACAAAAGAACACATGAAAACATCTAATTTGGCAAATAGTCTCTTTTAAACTATGTAATAAACTTAATATGAAGAAAAAAACATTTTTCAAAATGACCTACAGTGTATTCCCAATCCCAAAATGAAATAGAGGCTTTAAGAATCTATTTCCCCGGGGACAAAAAAGTAAAACTGGAAGTATTTGGAGTTCCTAAACAAGGAGTCTTCACTTTTTCTCCCTAGTGAATACTATCTGGGATTGTGGTTCTTAGAGCTCAAATTTAAACCCTAGTATTCTATTCTCCATGGTACTGTATCTTTTCTCTGAATTATAGATGGGAGTAATGCTGCTCTCACTAATTTTTATATTTAAATAACTTAATCAGTATTCACTTCTTGTTGGGACAAAAGGTAACAAGAGAAAATTTTGAAAATCTTAAGTTTAAGTTTTTGTTTAACTTGGCAGATTCACATCTGGCTGAGGACTGGAAGTAATATTGGAGTATTTGTAATTCCATCCTAGTAATCATAAATGCAACCAGAAAGCAGTCATGTGGACATACCTAACAATCTGCCTCAAACCAGAAGCAATAAACTTAAGTTTCATTATGGGAAAAGGAGGAAAAGAACTTTCTAGGTTTTTGTTGTGTTGTTTTGGTTTTTTCTTTCTTTCTTTCTTTTTTTTTTTTTGCTTGCTTGTTTTGCTTTTTGGTTTTTTTTAAACTTGTAACTCCAGTTGGAATTCTTTTTGACCAAAAACAAAAGAACATAGCCAAAGTCGCTCTATCTGATCTTGTGAGATTGATGCTAATCTTCCTGGGTTCTTGTCTACCTGTCCCAGACATGAAGTGGTGATATCAGCTTACCTTTTCCAGGATGTCAAGGAAAGCACCTGTAGTCTAGCCAAACTCAGCATGATTAGCAGCTTTATAGCATTTCTCAGCTGAATATAATTGGCATCTTTTAGCTTGGGAGATGTCTGATTTTGAGTATTCTTTTTCTCACTTACCCACTGAATCTGTACAACATTTTTTCATGTAACAAACCACATTGTCACACTCTTTTAGTTTCAGAGATGAACTCCAAAGTTGAAGGTTCAAAGATAAGAAATTTGTGATTTATATATCCTGCTTATTAAAGTGTTAATAATGACAAGAGATAGATAATAGAGTACTAAGAAAGGGACACTTAACAGCAGTATATGGCTATTCTTTTGCTTCTATGGTGGAAGTCAAAGGTGCTAATTTTAAAATATTAGGAAACATTGAAGTTTTTCCATGTTAGTAATATTCAACATAAGCATGTAGGTATTTATTTGCTTGAAATTGGTCAAACAGCTTTTGTTTTTATTGTTAAGAGTGGAAAGACCTGGGTAAAAAGTAGCTCTCTCTTAGGTATTAAGAGATTCATACACTGAAGAAGGTAGAATAACATTTTTGCAATGCAAACTAAGAATTCTATTCAATATCAATAGCAGTCAATACTCCTTAAGTGATTCTTGTTAGAATGAGGTAGCACTAACAGCAGTAATTTTACATTTTACAAATGTCATTCTTAAAATTCCATATACTTCCATACTTATAAATAAGCACATCTGTTTTGCATATCCTCTAAGAAAACATTGTTAGATAGAATCATAGTTCAGACTTTAAAAAGTATTTTAGGCATTTGAAAGCTGATAGCTGTAATATTTCTTGGTATATTATGTATATAATTACTGTAGTAGAATTATGAGATTACATGGGATCTTAGGACATTTTTTATGGCATGGAGGACTTTACCAGTTAGTAAAGAAATGCTTCTGTTTTATTATAACAAGTCACTTAGGTTGCAATACACTGAGTACCAAAATATTTTAGCACAAGAAAAATTCTTAGTTGTGCCAAACACAGGAGGTGAAAAAACTGAGATTAGCATATTGGATGTTTGCTCTTCTGAAATACAACTATATTTTTAGAGAGAGAAATGGATCTGAGTCAAAAACAGTTTAGGTACACTGATTAATGTCTATTAAACATCTACTAGTATTCAATCATGTAATATTATTTTATAGCCTGTTTTCCCCTTTTATAATAATATCTTTCCAAGTCATATATTCATCTGTAATACTTGATATATAGTATTATGGTCTAAATGTATTCCACCTCTAGATTAATATGTTGTAACAATCTGTAATGCAGTGGTTTTTAGAGGTTAGAATTTTGGAAGGTGACTAGGTAATGAGGACAGAACCCCTATAAATGGAACTAGTTCCCTTAAAAAAAAGACACATGGGAGCTCGTTTGCTTCTTTGTTTTTCCACCTTGTGAAAATGCATAGCAGTTACCATCTATGAGGAGTGTGCCCCGAACAGATGCTGAATCTGCTGGTGCCTTGATCATTAGGTTGCAATACACTTAGTACCTTGAACTAGCCTTAGAACTATGAGCAGTAAGTATCTATTTTTTATAAATTACCAAGTCCAAGGTATTTTGTTATAACAACCCAAATGGACTAAGATAATATTGCTTTGGATGAGATGATGCATTAAATATGCAGGTGCTTTCTAATTTTTCATTATTAGTATTGTCTCACCATGTGAGTACTTTCAGTATGCCCAGATGCCTCCACTGTATTTTATTAAATAGACACAGCAACCTCATAGAACAGGTTGTTGTTATCACTCGCATTTTACAAATGTGGAAATTGAAAAGTATGTCCAGGGTCTCAGTGACCAGTAACAAAGCCAGGATGTGCATCTAGAAGTTCAGTGATTGTAGATACTACATTCTTGATTCTATGCTTTTCTCTCTATTTTAAACAATATTGTGATGGGCATTTTCATAACTACCTTTTTATAAATAAAAGAATGTTCACTTTAAAAAATTTTCACTAATATGAATTCTAAGAAGTGGAATGGATGTGAGTGCATGTTTTAAGTCTGTTGAAATGCATTCATTTCCCCTGTATAATGTTGGACTGTTACACCTCTACCAGCAGTGTTTGAGGTTTTAACTGAACCCTTGTTTATCCTGTCTGCCAGTGAAATTGTTAATATTTTAATTATTCTTTCCATTTTTACAGTAAAAAGATGATATTTTAAAACTTTATTATTTGATATAAGGATTTAATTTGCATTGTAAAAGGGATAAAATTAAGCCCAACAGTCACCTTCCCATGTTTTTTTCCCTTTTAGTTACTTTGTATATAAGATTAAAGCAAACATTCTTTAAAATTTGCTCATTCAGTTGATATCAGTTATACCTAGCACTCTTTTATTCTTTCATATTCTATTATCTTTGTTAACAATTATAGTGGTACCTTTATTACATGCTCCTTTGCATTTTTTCAAATGCTTTTCTGTACATCACTATGTATCCAACAGATGAGGAAACTGAAATTTAGAAAACATTAACATAATTAGCCTTTGGGTTTTTAAAATTTTTTAATATACATTTTTAATTGTAAGTGGACACAGTACCTTTATTTTTAGGTGGTGCTAAGGATCGAACCCAGTGCCTCACATGTGCTAGGAGAGTGTTCTACTACGGAGCCACAACCCCAGCTCCCAATTGTTTTAAATATATATTTTTTAGTTGTTGATGGACCTTTAATTAATTAATTAGCTTATTTATATGCAGTGCTGAGAACTGAACTCATGCTAGATGAGCACTCTACCACTGAGTTACAACCCCAGCCCAGCCTTTGGGTTTTAATATGCAAACACCAGATTACTTTTATAGATATCTAGAGATCTTAGGAGAATGAATTTATAAACCCTTCTACTGTATTGAGTTTTGTGACAAATGGCAAGGATGATAGACTTTCTTCAGCTCAGAGGAAATGGAAAGCACTACAGGAAATGCCCTTCTCCCTTTCTCATTTTGTCATCACGTATAGTACTTAACCTTCAAGTTCAAATTCTTTTTCAAAATGTGGTTAAGAGTGGAGTTGAGGGGTAGACTGTACATTTATTTGTGAGTTTGAGGGGTGGGGGTAACAAAGAAGGAGGTTAAGAAATAGGAGAAGGATAATTGAGTCTGGGAGGGTAGAAACAAAATATCTCCTTGCTTTCCATTGTGTTCTACAATATTTGCTACAAAATATTTGCTATAAAAAAACAGGCCCCAGGTAAGTGCTCAGTCTATTGAATGAGAGTTGTAGGAAAACAATCAGAATAATATTTCATGCTTAAGTCCACGAGGGTAATTTCAAATTTCATGAGAGCTCTTGCCAAATGCTTAAAATGTTCTTTTTCCTTGCCTTTAGCACATACCTTACATACCTGTGGCAGTCCATATATTTTTAATGCTATTTAGCATTGGATGTGAAACACCTAGGCTTATATTTTCCATATTCTCTGACAGGGGTTAACTGTACAATAAGGACATTTAGCCTTTTTTGATGCCATTTTCCTCAATAGCTAAAGGATGAGTTGAACATGGGATGGGGAATGCAAAAGGCATTGTAAAAAAACGAGCAATTAATTTGGGAGGGTGGGCTAGTGCCAGGAAATAAGGCAAACTGACGCTAAGCTGCTGAAGTACCAGAAAATTTGCAAGCACCACCCTACCCTAGGGAACTTCATGATCACAGTGTTTTATCCATTTATTTTAGTAAAGTCAGAGATGGAAGGAACATCTAGGCTCTCAAGGGGGAGTTCCCTTGTTCTAGCTGCAGTTCAAATGGAAAACATGAATTACTTTGTGCAAACTCCTTTCTTGATCTTAAAGAGTCAGTGGAGGTGTCACCTGTGATTTGGGTATAAAAAATTATGAATTTAGCTTGCAGAGGTAATTAGAATGTTTGCAATTTATTTAAAACACAAAGGATGCAATATTTGAAAATGGAAACCATTGTTACAAATTCAGTTTCAAAATATTTACTTCCA